ATTAAACAAGGGTAACTTTCTTGAGATTCTTTCATGGTATGCAGAGAGGTGCGATAAAATTCGTGATCTTGTGTTGAAAAAGGCTCCAAAGAATGATCAGTTGACTTCTCATAAAATTCAGAAAGACATTATCATTGCATGTAAAATTGAAATAGTTAAAGCAATTATGGACGATCTAAATGGAGACTTTTTTGCATTGCTAGTTGATGAATCATGTGATGTATCATGCAAAGAGCAATTAGCTATTGTCATGCGATATGTTAATAGATGTGGATCTGTGATGGAGCATTTTATTGGGATCGTTCATGTTCATAATACTACTACTTTGTGTTTAAAGAAATTAATTGTTGATTACCTTGCTCAACAATCTTTGAGTTTATCTTATGTGCATGGATAGTGCTATGATGGAGCAAGCAACATGCAAGGGGATTTACGTGGCCTCAAAACTTTGATTCAACAAGAAAGTAAATCTGCTTATTCCATTCATTGTTTTGCACACCAATTTCAATTGACTCTTGTTGCAATATCCAAAAAGTGTCTTGAAGTGGGAGAACTTGTATTGTTGGTTTCTAATGTATTGAATATAGTGGGAGATTCTTTTAAACATATGGATGATCTTCGAGAATCTCAAGCAGAAAAAGTTCAAGAGGCATTAGACATGGGTGAACTTGAAACTGGTAGGGTTTGAATCAAGAACTTGGTCTTGCTAGAGCTGCCGATACTCGTTGAGGTTCGCACTATAAATCTTTTAAGAACTTTATTTCTATGTTTGGCTCAATTATTGATGTTCTTGATACTATCGGTGTTGATGTCCGGACTTTAGAAGAAAGAGTTAAGGCAAAGGGACATCTTAGCACTTGTCAAAAATTTGAGGTTGCTTTCATGTTGCACCTAATGAGAGATGTTTTGGGGATTACAAATGAGCTTAATACATCCTTACAAAAAAAGGAGCAAGATATTGCAAATGCTATTCTACTTGTTGAAGTGGCAAAGAGACGGTTGCAAAAGCTAAAAGAAGGAGAATGGGATTCACTTATTGATAAGGTATCTGCATTTTGTGTCAAGTATAATATTTTGATACCAAACTTTGATGACCTCTATGTTAACTCTGGAAGATCTCGACGTAAAGTTACTGATTATACTATTTTACATCACTATCGTGTTGATATATTTTTTAAGATTATTGATTGGCAAGTTCAAGAACTCAATGCTCGTTTTAATAAGGTGACAACGAACTTTCTTATTGGAGTAGCTTTCTTAAATCCAGGTGACTCATTTTCCGGTTAACATGAGCGGTTGTTTGGTACCTTATGTAGAAAGAAAAATATTTAACACCATTTCTGATGAAACTATTATGAATACGTTTCAGGAAATGGAAACTCATAGAGGACAGTTGTAATAATATATTTTATTAATATATATTTTTGTTGACCTCTTTATATATTTGCTTCTTCGTATTTTGAACCCGCTTGATAAAAATTCTGGGTCCGCCACTGGTGTGTACGTAGACTTTACCCCTACCTTATGAAGATAGAGTGAGTATTTCCTAAAGACCCTCGACTCAACAACAGAAAAAGGAGCGATAAACAAACAATAACATCAACAAATTAATATGACAATGGAAGCAAGTGATACAATATGTAATAACAAAGATCTAGGAATACAAATATACAAGAATAATGCCCAACTACCGGTAAGAATGACTCGCCGTGTAATAACAAAGAACTAAAAATTATAAAATATAAGACTAGTACTAATACAACTGGTGAGACTAGGAGAAATTCTCGACTACCTGTCAACCCACAACCGTAATTCCCGACCTCCACACCTTCCTATCGAGAGTCATGTCCTCGGCAAGCTGAAGTAATGACATGTCATGCCTAATCACTTCTCCCCAGTACTTCTTAGGCCTCCCTCTACCCCTCCTCTGACCCGCCATGGTCAACCACTCACACCTCCTAACCTGGGCATCGGAGTCTCTCCTCTTAACATGCCCAAACCATCTCAGCCTTGATTCTCGCAACTTGCTTTCCACAGGAGCCACGCCTACCTTGTCCCTAATTACTTCATTCCTAATCTTATCTTTTTTGGTATGACCACACATCCATCTCAACATCCTTATTTTCGCTACTTTCATCTTCTGAATATGAGACTTCTCGACTGGCCGACACTCTGTTCCATACAACATAGCCGGTCTAACTATCATCTTGTAGAACTTGCCCTTGAGACTTGGTGGTACATGTATATCACATAAAACACTAGACGCGAGTCTTCATTTCATCTACCCCATTCCAATATGATGAGTAACATGCTCGTCAATCTCCTCATTACTTTGTATTACAGACCCAAGGTATTTAAAACTATCTCTCTTAGGGATGACTTGTGTATCCAACTTCATGTCCACTTCTACTTCATGCGTCCCAACACTGAACTTATACTCCAAGTATTTTATATTTTCTTCCTGCTCAACTTGAAACCTTTAGACTCCAAGGTTTGTCTCTACACCTATAGCCTAGCATTAATCCCGCATCACGTCTCGTCAATCAGCATTATGTCATCTGCAAATAACATACACTATGGTACCTCCCCTTGGATATGCCGCTTCAGTACATCCATCGCCAGAGCAAATAAAAATATGAGTCTCCTCCCACAATCCTCACCCTAGTCTTAGCTCCGTCGTATATATCTTTGATCACCCTAATGTACGCTACCGGAACTCCGCTAACCTCCAAACATCTCCATAGAACCTCCTTTGGGACTTTGTCGTAAGCTTTTTCTAGGTCAACAAACACATATGCAAGTCCTTCTTCCACTCCCTATACTGTTCTATCAATCTCCTCACATGATGAATGTTTCAGTAGTCGACCATCCTGACATGAATCAGAACATAGACACACTCCTCCTCACCCTTCTCTCCACCACCCTCTCTCACACTTTGATAGTGTGACTCAACAGTTTGATACCTCTATAGTTGTTGCAATTCTAGACATCACTCTTATTCTTGTTTAATATTTATATTTTTACTACTGAATTCATTACGTATTAAAAATAATGGGCTCGGAATGTAATATTTATTGAAATTTTGAATATCTTTTACATATATATCTAAGCCATGTATTAAAGTTATGGATGTACTTAAACTCATAGCATGTGAGCTATATTCGCCTCTGGCTGCAAGGTGCATATATTCAACGAGTCAGAAAAGGGCCACTAAGAAATTTGATGAGATGAATGAGAACATTCCTTCCTCAATCGGAGATCTCCAATTCAAGATAAGAAAGCAGTTCCCTTAAAATAGGGCTTACACAACACAAATCTAGATTAATTAGACCAATAAATTTTGAATATAAGACGATTAATACAAAAATTAATAAGCTAGAAAGGGATGGAAGTGGGTGGAAGGGTACAGAAAAGAAAAGGAGGAGAATTTGATGCGTTAAGTTGACTAGTTGAGTGCTTAACTACCAACTTAACCTTTTTGACAATTTCTAGCTCCAAGAGCAATATATGTGGATCTAATATTGAAAAAGTTGGTTGAATAGATTGAAGCCCATTTGTTCACCGTCTGCCTTTACCTAAAAGAAAAATTGTATCTACAAAAGTTGACTCATTGTGTATGGTGCCAATGGAATCCAAGAAAGCATCTCTATCCAGTAATCCTTGTTTTTTCCTAGAAACATCTGTCATATAAGACATTTCTTTTTATTTTATCTTATTTTCTTTTTACTTTTAAAAGAGACAGTTGGCTTTGAAATTTGAATTTTGTAGTAATCTTATTTCGGAGCACTCACATTTCACAGGTACGTAAATAAAAAGCAGTGACGTATGCATTATCAATGGGATCTATTCTAGACCACCTAAAATTCAAAAACAATGTCTCTGCCTTGTCTCCCACATTGTCCACACTACACCATTTTCTCCAACATTTTTGTACTGCATGTATCATTCAACAACTTAAAGAGCTTTTAAGAGAAGCACAAATTAAAGGGGCTTTTAAGCTTCAAAACTTGAAAATATATACTACGTAATGGATTATTATATGTCTTAGCCTCTTTAGGGTGGCCTGCACTTGATTACTCTCTTTTGCCGACAACCTAATTTGTTTATTCGCAGATGTTAAAAAGAAGCTTGAATTGTGTAGGGGCTCATTCATACTGCAACGTTAATGGGCTATAACTCCGACATCTGTCAATTTAGTTTATTAAACATTCTTATTAACATTGTTTAAACATCATGCATGTTTGTCATATTCTTGAAATTTATACTAGGAAATTGTAGTCTTATGTAACATAAAATAATTCAATTCTACTTCTTTTCTTTTTTAAGAGTTGTTGTTTTGTGATTCAAAACACGTTTGGAAATTTCCTTTTTAAAAATTGAAGTTATGTTTGCAATTTCATCCTATATCAGTGAAGTGCGGGGTCAAATTCCCAAAGCAGCCTCCCCTTCTGCTAATCGGCCCCTACCAAAAGAAAAAGAGTAAGATTTCGTGATGAAAGAAAAGAATTAAAAAAGTTTAACCATAACCATATTTTCACCGAAAGCTTTCAAATGTATTTTAAAAAATAATAATAATAAGATTAAGTAGAAAAAAAATAAAAGTTAAGATTAAGTGGAAAGGCTATTGGGATTTGGGAGTATGTTTTTATGAAAGCCTACCACGTTCTCATTTCTTTTTAATTCCGAAATAAAATATCATTACATGAGGAGTTGGGAGTATGTTAACCAAACTCTTTGGTGCTAACCGTAAAGACATAGTGTAATTCCAAAAGGGGGGAAGGGAGAATAGGGAACAAAAGTAAGAGGGGTTGGTTTGAGAAAAAGGGTATTTGTTGTGTAAAAAGCCTACAACGCAAATGGTGGTGTTTAAGAAAGGATGAAGAAATTTGGAAGGTTTCGGCCCCATTTTAACTTTAGACACCCACACTAGCAGTAGTTGGTTATTTACCAGGACATAGCTGACGAATTAATAGCGTTGCACAATTTGCTGAGGAGCAGAAAATATATCTTAAGATTCATCTTGTTCCCTTCTTTCGGGAATAGAAGATCAATCTTGCTACTGGACTAAAACTGTCATTTGGTTTGTTATAAATTCACAATGTGAAGAAGGGAATAAAATGTAAGTAAAGAAACAACTGGACTGGAGAATGACAGAGTAAGGCAGGGCTTTGTAAACGTATTCGTTTTAAATTATTGAAAAGGATCTTAGCTGTTTGATAATTATTGTGTATAAACAGTGGACGGGAAGATTACAAAAATCAAAATCATAGGACAAATGAATTATCCACCACTTCTGCAACGTTATCGTTTTTAACTGAATGTCTCAAATCGAAGAGCTGGCAAATTGGGACATATTGTACCTTTACCTAGATAGAAATATTCAATTGCATAAAATAGCATCGAGACATGGATATGTACATATTCGGACTACGCTTAGATGAAAATTGGAACCAACATCCAATCTTTCCAACAAACTCCGAAAGAACAGCAATCTAAATTACTATTGCCAGCAAGAGAAGGGATTAAAGAAACTGCCGTATGTATGTTACTTCAAGACAATGTTCTCTTGTTGAAAGATTCCACAGTTAAATTGGCTGTGAAAGCAGGTATTGAATTCATCTTCCGAATGAAAATATCCACCTGCAAAACACAATACCCCTACACTTTAGAAGGTTGATACCTCTCTGCAACCATTGTTATGTAGCTTAAAATAATAAAAGCTGAAAAACACTAACTACTCAAAGGATGAAAGTTGACAAGGACAAACAAGAAAAATTCATCTATAACAGTGGTAGCTAATTCGAAGAATGACAAAGATACTAGAGATTGACTTGCACAAAGGCTTATTTAAAAATCGTGGTTAAGCACCTGTCGGGATATCTCTGGCTGAGAGGTGTACGTGTTTGCCTGAAAGATCAAATGAAAGAGAGTTTAATGATCGTGCTTCTTCAAAAGTAAGAACTCAAAGGCCACCTATGTGTTTTACTAGCAATGTGCCGAACTGAAGCAATAAGGCATTGCACGAATGTTTGAAATTGACGGTAACATGTCCATCTCATGCTTCAACCCACCCCTAACATCCTAAAGCCCACAAAAAGAAAACATGGCATCTTACCAAAATGTTTGTGTTCCCTGATTCATATTCAAATTCAAGCTTTTCATCATCACTTTGAGCATAAATCGATTGAAGCATGAACCGCGTAACTGGTATTCCATCTGGACGATGGTGATCATCCATCACAATCTGACAACATAATTCCAATTATTGTTAGGTTGAGTAAAAAACG